TCCAAAAGGTCTCTTCTCCCTTCCGTAGTTTCTAGTATTTCTAGTATCTAGTAGAAGTAAAGTACAGTACAGTACTGTGTCAAAAATGTATTGTCCTAGTGCTTCTGAAAATCCAAAAACAATGTACAATGTTGCTAACTAAAGACCCGGACAGGATTCCAGTGAGTGAAAAGGGTACGGTACATTGTACCAAAGAAAGTATAGACCGTATCTAGGATATAGCAGTTAGCACTGTACCCCAAAAGTAACGATGTTCCTTAGAATACCTAGTAGCTCCTAGGTATTCTAAGAAGGCTGAGCCAATCTAGTAGAAGTAAAGTACAGTACAGTACTGTCAAAAATGTATAACTTGTCTAGTGCTCCGAAAATCCAAAAACAATGTACAATGTTGTACCTAAAGTCCCAGATACCTAATATCAAGGCTTTATGGAGAAGTTGAGGCTATTGTGCAGACTTTTTGAAAAAATTTGATGTTTCAAGGTTTTTGATGTGAAATAAGTGATTGAGCCAAAGTAATGATTGTTCAAAGTTATTCCCTTGGCCTGTCATCTGTCTTTGCCGCCCTTTTCTTCGTCGTCGGAAATAACAACGTCATTCCACAAACGATGACCACCATGGGACAACTCTAAATCAGGTTAGAGGAAACAGAAAAGGCCTTCTCCCTCTCTAGTATTCTAGTTTCTAGTATTTCTCTCCACTTTCTCCCTCTTCCACATTTCTCTTTTCCACATCTCATTTCCCCGTCTTCTTTTCGATTCCTCAGCGCATTTGAAAGGGCTTGTTTTGTGCGAGGCCAAATCATCCTTCCCAACACACAACCAAACATGGATGGAGAAACTGGGTATGATGAGGTGAAGATTCACGATATATCTATCTATATAGTATATATCTATCTATATATATGTTACGTCAAGATCTGAGGAGACGCCCATCTCCGATCCGGACGTCCCAGAATCTGAGCCGATTCATTCTCCGGAGAAACGGGGAAAAAGAGTGTTTCAAAGTTAGTGGGGTCAAGAAAAGTTTTAAACAACTAGTGTTTCTTGAATAGATTTGATCTGAGGATTTTGGGTTTATAAAAACAAAAAAAGCCACCCGTATCAGTTTATCATTATGTTTATTGTTATTTAGTAGTTGATTTGTGGAAAACCTTGGTTTCCAGGTCAAAGATGGGAATGCTTCAAAACGAGGCCTTTGGAAATGAGAAGCTATTCTAGTGAAGTTTGAGCTGAAACGATGAACTAGAGATGCATGAGGCAAAAAGAATTTAATATTAAAGGATTGTATGAGGCTTTTAAGTCAATTGCTCAGACCAGAAGCTGGTTTTTTAATGCTGAACTCCATGTGGAATGTGTTTCTGGCTTTAAGAGTTCTTCTCAAAAAAATCTAGCTTCTGGTTCGAACATTTAACCTAGAAGCCTAAATTTTCTTTGGAAAATCGTAAAAATAATATCTATAAGATTTTTTCAAAAACGTATAAAACCAAAGAAAAATGAAATTCTTTTAAGTAATATTTTAGTAGTTAGCTGGGGGAAGGTTTAGAGGAGATCCCAAGACAACTGTCTAACAACTAAAAGTTTTTAGACAAAGTGTTTGTTAGAAGAAGGAATGTTTCAAAGTGAGGTCGTTAGCGGTTAAGTTTTTCTATCTAATAAGATCTTTGGGTTTAGGTTTAAATGGGTTTAGGTTTAATTGGGTTTAGGTTTAATTAAAAAGAAACAAAGTGTTTGTTAGGGTATTCATACTTCAAAGTGAGGAGAAAGCAAAAAAGGTTCAACTTGTAATGATTAAATCAAAATCAGATTCTTCAAAAGATTCAAGTCTTTTATTTCGTTTTTAGATTAAGATTAACAAGTTTCAATGTAATTCTTGAGTTCTTTATTCTTTTTTGCACATGAATGTGGAAATGAATGTTTCACTTTTGACCGGCTCTTTCGCTAAATCTAAATTGTAATTTTTTTGATGTAACAAGATCTTTAAACAGATTTAAAATGACAAAACTAAAAAACAAAACTACTTTTTTTTCATCTATTTCATCTTTTAATCATCTATCAGCTTTTCAAAATAATCCATAATCTAACATCGAAAACAGAAAGAATATTTTTTAAACAACTTTTAGTTTTTAAACCAAAAACAACTTTCTCTCTTTACAAAACAAAGTTTCAAAGAGCTTAGCCTCAAAAGCTTCTCGAAACGCAATGCTCGTCTTTGCATTCTTCAAAAATGCATTTTTTCATTCGATGCAAATTATCAATCCTATTTTATCGTGTTTAAAATCTGGAAAACTAAACATTTAGTTCTCAAAACTTAATTGCAAGTTTCAAATATTTAAGGTTCAAAGAGGTTATCGGAGCATAATCTCTACCCTCTTCCCGCCCTTAAAATATTTTAGTAGTTAGCTGGGGGAAGGTTTAGAGGAGATCCCAAGACAACTGTCTAACAACTAAAAGTTTTTAGACAAAGTGTTTGTTAGAAGAAGGAATGTTTCAAAGTGAGGTCGTTAGCGGTTAAGTTTTTCTATCTAATAAGATCTTTGGGTTTAGGTTTAATTGGGTTTAGGTTTAATTAAAAAGAAACAAAGTGTTTGTTAGGGTATTCAGGTTTCAAAGTGAGGAGAACAAAAAAATGGGGATAAAAAGAAGAATATGATTCTAGAAGTCATTTCTGTCTAGTTGTTAGCTGAAATTCTTGGATGAGATCCCATTCAAATTGTCCTTTTTCTTTCCCTTTCTTTTCTGCATGTAAGGGCCTCCTAATTGAGACTTTTTTTCACATAAAGAACCTTTTTTTCTTCTTTTAAAAAGGCTGTGGATTCGAGATGAAAAGAAAGAAAAATGCGTTAAAAAAAGACTTGAACACAAGGGAACGAAAATGAAACTAGATGTGAATAGAATTTGATCATCGTTTCATCGTCCGCGTTGAACACGTTGAACACGACGATTCGACCTTTCCTAAAATTTAATAACGAGAATAAACAGTAAAAAGAACAGTGCTGATAATCGAAAATGTTGAATATTGAGTGTGCTCTATCTTTTTTATATAAACACCAAAGGAGGTTTATGTGGAAGAAACTGTTCAAGCAATCCAATTTAGACTTGTCAGCTTAATGTCACTTTATGTGGGGCGTGTCTGGGCAATACAAGATTTTCTGTTTCAGTCTTTTTGCAGTCACTTTTCTCATTGCTCCAAAACATTTAGAATTAACGTATTTTTAATGGGTTTTCAAAGTTACCGCCAGTAATTTATTTGAAATTTTCAGTTTCAAATTGGGTTGCAGCGCATCACATTCAAAACTATTCGGTTCACTATTCGCAATTCGCAAATTCTATATCACAACCGATTTTGGGATTTTGGGATTTTGGGATTTTGGAATTTCTGCTTTTTTCGCATATCCTATTTTAGAGCTAGCCTTTTTTTGAGCCTTTCATTTTCAGACCACTCCCCGCAGAAATGATGCACTACGCCCGGGAGGACACTCACTATTTACTCTATTGCTATGATCTGCTACGGGAAAGACTTGTTTTTGCTTTGAAATCCGTGTCATATTGTAACTATTTTTATTTGAAAATTGTAATCATAGAACAATAAAATTTGATTGCCATGAAAAAGCACGCCTCACTTTTCACTGATGCTATCGTCGATCTCATTTCACACATTCACACGTGACAATGTCCTCAAACGGTGTATTCTTTGAGAACGATTCATCACAGAAGTCCTCGCATACTCATTCGCGAATTTCCCCCATTCGACTTTCCCTTCGCTATTCACCGAGGGTGGGTTGTTTTATGATAAAAGCACGACCTTTTTTCACTTTTTTCTAACTTTTTTCAACAAGTTCTTTGTTGACAAAGTGTAATCGATCTTGGTTTAGATCTCAACAAACTGAAGAGAAACTTTGAGTTGATTATAGTGTTTTTTAAACTTTAAGCTTTTAAAATCATTGTGACATTTTGGCGCGGAGAGGACGAGTCTGCAAATCATCGAAAATTATGGATTCACACAACTTGTCTAAGAAAACTTGTTTTTAAGTTTTTTAATTTTAACTACAACTAATGTTTTATCTTTTTCTCAGATTCGCGCGTTGGACGGATAGTGAACTCTACGATGCCATCATTTGTACAGAGTATCGGGTGGGTGTCTTGATTTTAATGGATATAGTATTAAGCCATGATAATAGCCAAAACCAACAAGTCTCTTTTGAGTCTATTTTACTTTTTTAGATAAAGAAACGAGTAAGATTAGCCCAAGCAAAGAGGTGGTCGACTCGGTGAATAGCGAAGGGAAAGTCGAATGGGGGAAATTCGCGAATGAGTATGCGAGGACTTCTGTGATGAATCGTTATCAAAGAATACACCGTTTGAGGACATTGTCACGTGTGAATGTGTGAAATGTGATCGACGATAGCATCAGTGAAAAGTGAGGCGTGCTTTTTCATGGCAATCAAATTTTATTGTTCTATGATTACAATTTTCAAATAAAAATAGTTACAATATGACACGGATTTCAAAGCAAAAACAAGTCTTTCCCGTAGCAGATCATAGCAATAGAGTAAATAGTGAGTGTCCTCCGGGCGTAGTGCATCATTTCTGCGGGGAGTGGTCTGAAAATGAAAGGAATAACATAAACCCCAATGTTTTTCAAACCTGACACGCCAATCGGTCATCTGGAATTCCTTGAGTTGTACTTGACACAGCGTCAACAGGTACTAAATAAATGTAATTTAGCTCAACAATAAGTATCTTTGACTGGTTTTTGTAGACAAACTTGTAAGCTATGTTTTGGTAGACCCATCGACAAGCAGGAATTTGCTTGGTTTATGTTGATGGTAAGACGGCAAATCGTCCAAAACTCAATCGTTCTAATGCCAACTCGTTTCAAGGGTTTAGCTCCACGAGCTATCTAATAGTTACTATTCCATAAATTCTTATGGCTAAGTTTCTTGAATTCCTTTGTTATAGATGGATCTTCAACCAACCATGCGTTCTTTGAGATGAGCCTCACGTTCCCCAATAGAAACCGACTTTTGACAGCCCTAAATTGATTGACGATTTTAAACTCGAGGGCTTGTTGAGCTTACGTATGATTAGATTTCGTGTATTCGTTCCCATTATTCGTGCTCGTGGAGCTAAACCCTTGAAACGAGTTGGCATTAGAACGATTGAGTTTTGGACGATTTGCCGTCTTACCATCAACATAAACCAAGCAAATTCCTGCTTGTCGATGGGTCCTTTCTAAACAAGAATGCACAATTGTTTAAATACAAAAAACTGACTTCTTCAAAAGTTTCTTGCACTGATCTTCATATTCTTCGGCTTCAAATTCCTGGTCTTCGATTGCACCGTCCACATCGGGATCATAATTCTTCATCCCACGTCATCGAACCATCATCGCGCTTCGAAGCGTATTTTGTTCTAAAATCAATAAGTTTGGCATTACAAGTAGATTCTGCTCATAACGGGCCGATTCCAATGTAATAAGATGAGTATAGCCAACATGATTGCTCGCCGATGATGGGTGATTCTTGGGAGAATAGAGGCACAGGAGCTTTCTTCTAAACAAATATTTGAGAAAGCATGGAAAAACCGCAACCTTATTGCTTCCTCTACGACGCTTGAAGATTGAATCCAACGTTCGGTTGCCTAAAAAAGAACATTTGTCAGTAAATAAAGAAAATTTACTCCAACCTTCAAGTGGCTCATTTCCTCTACAGTCAAGCTTTCACCCCGATCAATTTCGTTCGTTGCCGATCCCTCGTCAGCAACCGAGTCAGCCAAATCGTCGGGAAAGTCCATCCCTTTGCGCGTTTGCCTCTTGCGGCTGTTTGCGAATACCGTTCTAAAAAGTGAAACATTAAAAACATAATTGTGAAACGATACTTGGTTGCTGAAATGACATCACCGATCATCGTTTCATCGTCCGCGTTGAACACGACGATTCGACATGGCAATCCTTTCCTAAAATTTAATAACGAGAATAAACAGTAAAAAGAACAGTGCTGATAATCGAAAATGTTGAATAAAAACAAAAAGGTTGTTGTTACTAGAGTGTCCTTGCTTGCAACTGCAACAGAAGAAACGAAAAGAGGAATTAGTCAATGTAATACGGAAAGGAGTACGGTCGCTTTGCCGCGTTTTATTCGCGACTCATGCAAAAGGAGAGGCCAAGAGATCTATCAGTGATTGGAAAATCGGATTTTGACATGAAATTTAACAAGCGCTGCCAAGGGATTAAAATTGGCATAAACCCATAAGTTGACTACTTGATTTTAAGGGGAATCTACCAAAAAGGAAATGGATTCAAAGTTCAATGAATAGCTAGCAACTGACTATCAATTACGTAAAGCAATGGTTGAGTTGAGCAAACCTAGAAATTGTGGAAATTCAGTAGCCGAAGACTTGTAGAAGCTTTTTTGAGGTTTGTTCGGAGAAAAAGTTAGAATCCCGCATTGAAGGCTTGTAAATGTTTGTTTAATCCAAAAATGGAAATCCATAATCGATCCTCTTTCCTCAATTAGATGTCGAATCCGGCGTTTCGCATGCACTGTTTGTGCGCCCCGATGAATTTCCCGCAGTGTTCCTCACCATTTTGAACGATGCACTCGTCGCGTACGCGTTTCATATCTAAATTACCCAGTTAGCCCAAGAATTAGTTTGTAAAAGAATACAACAACGGGAACTTGTGATCACTTTCGATGCCACTTTTGAATATAATCATTGACATATCTTTAGCTTGTATTTAGCTCTTTTCCGATCCTCGCAATGTGGTAGGTGCCGATCTTCTTTTTGCTTTCTGTCATGGTGTCACAGTCTTTCTCTTTTCTCTTGATTTCTCATGAACGAGTCTGCGAACAGTACGTTAAATCGTGAACAGTACGTTAAATCGTGTCTGTGTACTCACTTGTGCTGTGTATCGAAAAATCTCTTGAAAGATCCGCTGATTCAGCACTTTTCAAGGAAAAACCCTTTTTGATAAGCCAAGCGCGTGCCTGCTTTTCTTATCCATGCGATAAGTGGTGCTGCAAACACTAAAACTTTGAAATGTTTATTCAAAATGAATCTTTTTCTTACACTTTATTCGTTGCAATCTACTCTTACAAATAAAAACAGGGCAAGTCATGTAGGGAAAACAGGAAAAATACCAGTAAATTGCTGAAAGATCACAAAATAACAACGATGAATAAAATTTGCAGATAATCGGCTTGATAGTTTCCTATTCCTTCGTCTCGTCGGATTCCTAAAAAAGGAATTTCAAAAGATTGCGTAAGTAAATCACTCACCAATAAACCGTAAGAAGAAAAGTGGTCAACGCGGAAGACCCACGAGCCAGTAGTTGGGCGGTAGTCTTTGAAATTGGCGCCCATTCGAGCACTGATACGCTCCAAACGCTCGCGCCATTTCATACCAATCAACACTTCCGGATCCTGTAAATAGAAATTCCATTGACTTTTGGAAACGTAACAAGTTTGTTGCATAACACACAACACGTACCTTGATGAGTTGCTTCGTTTCCTTTTCCACTGGCCAGACACGTTCCAAAGTCACTTCAGCGCATCGATTCAGCTCTTCGCCAACAGAAGGCTTTTGATCCTCATTTGGGTAAACGGTGACCTCCTTATTGCGAAAAACAACAACCTAAAAATGGCTTAGATAAAAGAAGGAGTTATGTGCAAACTTTGTTAATATTGATGTCCTTTGAAATTCGAAGCGGTCCGGGCCAAAAAACACTTCCATACGTCAATCTTCCAACGAGCAAACCATCGGGAAGATCGATATAATCGTCATCAGTCTAAAAAGATTATCATAAAGGACTGATGAGCTGTAATACCTGGTTTTTCAATCGATCCAATGGAGGATCCGAGAAGTAGTCATCGTTGCTTGAAATACTCTTTGGGCTAGTAATCAGATCATCGGTTGGCTTTGACACCATCTTGGAAGCCGGAATCTCTTGAATCTTCATTTGAGGAGCCGCTGGCTGAACCTAAAACATCGTTTTAACCTCAAAACCCTTGCCACTCACTTGAACAATGCTATCATCTTGAAGAGAACCGTCCAAATGAAGAGATGGAAGCACAGGCTTGTGAGGCTTTCTTGTGTCTGCTTTCACAACGAACGTAGCATTGTCGGTTGAGACAACTTTGTCTCGATTCGTAATCTAAAAAATTCTTAAACTAATCCCAAACTCCTTCCCTAGCCTTAGGCAGCTCATCCGGATCGGCAAAACCCTGTGGCGAATTGACCGTCGACGCGTCACGCATCATCATTGGATCCAAGTGCTTGATATTTGTACGGCGTGTTGTTGAAATCAATTGATTCGTGCTTCCCGGCAGAGCGCTGTCGATTGTCGCATCACCAGCACTAAAAACATGCAGTTAACAATTGAAAATACTGTAAAGACCTGATCTTACTAGTTTCTTTAACCAAATGCTAAAAAACTTACTCAAAACGCGGCGTTGCCCCATTTCGTCTAGCTGACAAAGGAGAGTTGCTCATCGCTGGGACCGTTTGGATACCATTTGCCAAAGTTGGAACTCGAGAAGCAGAGATCCTAAACGAATGATGAAATGGTTTAAAAGTTTGATTTACCTTTTGAACAATCGGAGATTTTCCAAGAGAAGATCCGGGTCTTGGCAACGATGGCGGCACAAGAGATCCATTGCCAGAAAGCACCGGTGAGCCAGCCAACGATTCCAGGAATTTCAATTGGCGTTGTACGCTAAACGAAAATTGTTGTTTTGTTGTATTTGATCCAGGACTATAATCCACTCTCCTAAACTTACTTTGCTGAGTTCGTTTGATCATCGGTTGTCGCTTTCGCAGCATCCATCCATTTCAACAACGGTCCATCACCATAGGGAGTGGCTGCCAGTTGGGCCTCCAGCAATGCGCGTTCGATTTGCCGTTGATTCACGTCCGATCCGAGCACAATTGGTGCCGCTGCAGCAACGGGCACTTGTGATGGCATCGCAGCTAAACTTTAGCATAAATACGTACTGTTAACCCAACTAACCAGCAATAGTAGGCTGTGCTTGTGTTCCGAAAAGTCCTCCCGCTTGTGGTTGTTGTGGTTGAGTTTGTCCAAATAGTCCTAAACAGCAATTTATTTATTCTCTAGCTAGAAAAATACCTGTCGATGGTTGAGTGCCAAATAACGAAGTACCGGGAGCTGTCGTAGATCCAAATAGAGACTTGTTTGCCGCTGGTGGTCCAAAAACTCCTCCACTGGCGGCAGGTTGTGCACTTAAATTTTATAATTTTAATCTTTACCAAAAGCATTTGTTGTCGTTCCTCCGCCAAAGCCAAAATTTCCTCCGGGTTGCTTTGCAAAAAGCGAACTTCCAGTGTTTGCCGTCGCCGTTTGTCCCCCCAAACAGGTTTGCTGACGGTGCTTGTCCAAAGGCGGATGTTCCAGTCTAAATACACAGTAAGCTAAATTTTAAACGCATCAACTTACATTTGATCCACCAAATGAAAATCCAGTTGAGGGTTGTGCTGTATTCGTAGTACCAAATGCTGAAGTGGCGCCAAATAAACTGCCACCGGTTGCGGGCTGGCCAAATGTTGAAGCCTAAATTAAAAATACATAAACTGATACGAGGATATTTGTGAATTTGGATTGTCTTCGAAGTTTCATACAAAAATATTCAACCAAAGTTAAGCCATCCATCGTTTGGTTTTATTGAAACTTCGTACTTGTGGTTTGGTCCCTCCAAATATCGACGATGTGCCGGGAGACGCTGTGGTGCCTCCAAATGCTGATGTAGTAGTTGAGTTGAACAATCCGGTAGCCGGCTAAAAATTCTTTAGGTTTAACCGCAATCGAACCAAAATTACCTTTGGCCCAAAGAGCGGCGTTGACGCTTGTTGTTGTGGTTGAGATCCAAACAATGTATTTGTTGTCTGTCTGTCTGCTCCAAAGCTGTTCGAAGCTAAACAAATAATTACATCGTGACCAACTTTCTAAAATAAACTTGGCGATCCAAAGATGCCAGTTTTTGGCTGTGTGCTTGCTCCAAATATTGATGTAGATGAAGTGGTTGCTCCTTGGCCGCTGCCAAACATAGAAGCCGTCGCACTGCCAGCGGTAGGTCCTTTTCGACCTGCAATGTAATCCTCCATTCGTAGTTCCTAAACTTGGCAACAATTTAAATGTTCAAAGTTCAAAATTTTATCAACTCAGCCTGGATTAGTCTCTTAATTGAATATCTAAAAATAAATTTACCTCCAAGCTTTTCGTCTCATATTCCTTCATCGCAGAGATGCACATATGCTTTGTGTTGATATTCTGTTGAGTGTTGTTCTTCAGCATCGTGTCCGTTCCCGTTTGTGCTTGAAATTTGACGGTTGTTCCATTGGTCGTCGTTGCAGTAGATGATCCTAAATCTTCTTTTAAAGAAATAAAAAGTCAGTCAAATTACCAAATAGAGAGCCTCCCGAAGTCGTTCCCATACCACCGAAGAGACTAGACTGTGACGACGGTGATCCGAAAGTTGAAGTGACAGGCTGCGATGAGCCGAACAGTGATGGCTTGGCTTGCGTAGATCCGAACAATGAATTGCCCGATGTGTTTTGTGTTGTACCTGAAAAATAGAGAATAACAACATTGTAAAACAAAAACTAACAAACAGCACTCGCCTCCAAAGAGCGATGAAGATTGCGAAGGAGAATTTCCGAAAAGACTCGTCGTGGCCGGCTTTTGAGCGCCCCATAGCGATGAGGTTCCTTGATTCGCGGGAGTTGTCGCGCCAAACAGTGAAGAACCGGCTGGCTTCTGTCCAAAAAGCGAAGAACCTGAAAATGGAAAAGATTGAGTGCTTGAAGAATTTTTTAACGTATAGAATGAGTTTAAAAAAAAATTACAATTTTAGATAGGACTTATAGCAAAAGCCAGAATCAATTACTCTTCCGATTACTTTCCGAAACAAAAATTCAGAAGTTGAATAAGCTTTCAAAGACTATTTTGTTAAAGTGATTTTGCCAAATGGCCTTAGCAGCTTTTCTTTAAATACTTAACATTTTTAAAAAGTGACTGACTTTCAAACTTTTAAGATAAATACACCAAAACAACAAACCTGACGAACCAAATGTGCTGTTGGTGGTCGTTGAGCCAAACGGTTTACTGCCAAACATCTTGTCGATGATCGAGCTGAAAAGAAAATGCATCAATTTGGAAGCAAGAAATGTACACAAAAATGAAAATGCAGGCGTAAAATTGTGAAAGCTTTCTGGTTTCGAATCTCAACTTAGTGTACGAGACGCGCCGCTTTCGCCCCCGATGAGCGTACTAATAAAGTTGGGGGGCATTTTTTTTCAAAACCACTTTTTCTTGGGTAGTTTTATACGTAGATTCCGAAAAACACAATAAGAGCTTAGGAAAAGGCGTTTTAAGCCAAGTTTCGGGGTTTCAAAGTGTGCGCTTCTATATGAACCCCAAGTTATCAACTATTGGCGCACTTTTCAAGGTCAAAACTAGAGCCAAAATCATTTTTAACCACTAAATAGCCATTTTCTAACTTAAATTGACTAATAGAGGCAAAATAATTTGAAAAAAATATTTTTTGATTTTGCTTCAATTTGATCATAAACGTAATCAGTATGGTAAATTATGCCAGAAGTGTTTTTGACTTCAAAAAATGCTTTGAGAGACCATTTTTAGATCTCTTTCCTGTATTCCCTCTCATCACACCGTATGAGCGGGCACTTTGGAGCCCTGAAACTCGGCTTAAAACGCATCTCCCCCAAGCTCTCGTTGTATTTTTCGGAATCTACGCATAAAAATACTTCAGAAAAAGTGGTTTTGAAGAAAAAAAGTGCCCCCCCAACTTTATTAGTACCAATGGTAGTAAACGACGCACTGGATTGAGTGCTGGTCAAAACTTTAGCAAATAGTGAAACAAGTGCTTTAAATCACTTTTAACACAAAAAACAGCAATATTCGGCTTCAGCGCATTCAAGTTTTCAAAAATACAATGGAATTGGCAGGATTATTGACGGACTCAATAACGCCGAGGGTACAACAAAAAAAAGGGGAAAACGAAGGAAAATCGCGAAAAGCGGCGGAAAGGCTATTGATCTGAGGGTCGCTAGTGCGACTTCCACCGGTGACAATATTTGTCAGAAAATTTTTGCTAAGATTCTGAAAATTTGTGTCTAGGGGTTATTTTTGACGCTGATCACGAAACACATGTTTTTAGCCTAGGTTTCTGCACGGAAAACTAACGAAACGTGAAAACAGCCATTTTTTGGCTCTGCCGCCCTTTACCAAAATAGCTGTAAAAACTTTTAGAAAAGAGATATCTCAAAACAGTTTTTACCAATGGATCCGTCTTGAATTTAGCTTTAGGATGAGCTTTAAAACGTCAAAATTGGACAAATTTAAGGTACTCTCCCAAAAAATCCGAAAGGACTTTTCCACCAACCCAATACATATAGTACTCCAGTACAATAAGACATACTGTATTATGGTATTTTACAGTACTTTGTCACGCTTTTCTACATTCCCTTTTGGTTCACTTTTCTCTTTGATACAGTCCACCCCAAGCCCTCTTTCACCAAGACAATTACAGCCGCCGAGCGCGGGAAAACCCGGCATTTGAATTTGATTAGGCTTTGAAAAACACAAAACATTTCTAGTACTTACCTACATTTTTATCTATTATCTGCTATTTTTTTTCTTCTATAGTTAGTTTTATAGTTTCCTTTACATTGTCACTCTCATAGATTCACCATTCCAAATCCAACAATGGTCGAAATCAACAAAGAAGTCGAGTCTGCGATTTTGAGCATGGTAAGTTTTAAGCTAGTTTAGAAAATCGGGTCAAGATGAACCTTTTCCATCGCAATTTTCAGTACAACTTGCTTGGCAAGCAGCAACAATTGGAAAAAAAGAATCAACTCCAAGAAGTGATCACCGGTCATTGTCGACTCGTGCTCAAGTTGATCAAGTTTGTTTACCGAACCAACAATCAAATTTTGAAATTTAGACAAAAACACGCCGACATTTTGTGTTTGCCTGAAAGACCATCGAACTCTGATGTCATTCAGCACATTCACGGCCTTGTCGAGCAAAAATTCAGCCGCATATCCGCGACGTTTTCCCCTGATCGTGCGATTGATGGGGACAAGTTTGAGATCGCAAAGGTATTCAAAATTACCAGACAGTGCTTTTGCAGTATTTGACACTATTTCCGTTTCTTTATCCTTTCATCCAAGATCCATTCAAAGCAAGTTCATTTCAGTATCTCTTGCTGTTATTTTACGAGTTGACAATCACTCGCGACGAGGTGACCCTCAAGAGAACGATTGCAAGTTTGGATCAAGGGGAATCATTCGATCACTTTTGCGCAAGTCATCCAAACGCTCACCAATCGAATCGATGACATTGATGAGTGCTGTTGGAGGGAGATGTTGTGTAGGTGAGTTCGGGGTTTATCATTTTGTATTCAATAGCTATGGTAGCTTTTCACGACATAGACAAATTGTTATAAGTACAATAACTTCATAGGAGTACTGTAGCTTCTTGTGAGTACGGTAGCTTCTCAAGTATACGGCAACCTTATTAGAATACTGTAACGTCTTATGCTTACTGTAACTTCTTGTAAGTACGGTAGCTTTTCATAGAGTACGGGAGTTGTGAGCACAATAACCTTAGAGGAGTACTGTAACTTCCTGAGAACAATAGCTTTCTTGTTCACACGGAAACCTTGAAATTATTGTAACTTAAGTATGATATACGGATACAGCAGCTCATTAGAATTAAGATATTCATCAAAGAAATTGATATCACTTTTTAGTGATGTGACTCAAGAGGAAAGCTCAGTCACTCGCCCCGCTTCTTCGCCGAATTCCCGCCGAACAACCGGCTTTCTATCTCGTTTCAGCTTTCTATCTCGTTTCAGCTTCCGATCCCTCGAACTCCGAGTAAACTCTCCGGTTCATCAAGTTCACCCATTAAGAGTCCCAGTATGCAACAATTTGTCTCATCACCGTTGCTCAGGTAGGCTAATAAGTTATTAAAGGTACGAAAGCTAGACTCTTACTCTTGTTCTTGTAAAGAGATCTATACTTTCAGAGAAAAGCGCTTCGCTCGCGAGAATCAAGAGCTAAGGAATAAGATTGATGACTTGGAGGACACCAACAGTGAGACGGAGATGAGATACAAAGCTGTTGTTGCTGAGATAAATACGATGGAGACAAAGTATACCAATCAATAAGCACACCTAAAAAGGATGGTTAGCTGTAAGCTAGACCAAGTCGTAACCTGGCCTGGTCTAGTTTACAGCGCTTAGGGTAGACTTACAGTATAACTATGGCTATAGAGTAATTTCAAACGAATTCTAAAGGTGATCTTAATGGGTACACATAAATTTTAGACTGAAACTAGCGAAAAGCCGAAACGACGACCTCCAGAAACAGCTACAATATAAGAGCACCGCTTTGGAGAACAGTGAGAGTGCGGTAAGTGGAAAGACTTTAATCTAACGATAACCATTCAATTCTACTATGAGATTTGCACTTGAAAATGAAAATAGCGATGAAACTGGGGCGAAATTGTGCCTTTATATTGCTCGCCGATTTCCCCGAATCTTTTCTTTATCCACTTTTCCCCTAGCTCTCCTTTCCTTTTGCAATGACTCATTTCTTTTTTTGAAATTTCGTTCCGATAACCGTTTGAAACCGGAACTATGAGTCATCATGGTATTGAAAAAAGATACTAAACTTTTTTTCCAATTGCAATTATATCTAAAAATCCAAGATTCACCCTTTCTGGTGCACTAAATTTGTCATTTTTCTTAAGCCAACAAGAACAACTTGATTCAAGAAAAATGAAAAATTCAGTATTCCAGAAGTGGTGTGTTTTGAGCATAAAGTACACCATAGCTAATTCTTTCAATTTCAGTTGAACGATCTCAAAAAACGCCACGAATACCAGGCGTCCGATGTGTCGACCTGGAAAATGGACTACCACAAAGCATTGCGAACGATCGAAGAAAAGGAGACGACGATCAAGGGTTTAGAGCAAGATAAAGAGCTCTATATGGCACAGGTTTGCACAGGGATCATTTTTTAAAAAGATTATTATTTTATAGCTGAAAACGTATGGGGAGAAATTCCGGGACGCCGACGCGGAAATCGAGGAGTTGACGACGAAAATGAGGGCATTGGAAAAGTACAAGAGGTTTGTTTAATCGGAAAAAAATTCGTTTTCTTAAAACACGTTCCACTTTTCTCTTTCTATCGTAATCTTGTCTCTATTTTTATCGAATATATTCACATTTTTTCTGATTTACAAGAGAGTTCACAAAATGATATCGAAAGATTGAATAAACAAATAAAGTAGAAAGAGAGATGGAGCTTGGTTTAGAAAACGAATTAGAAAAGATACCAACCAGCTATTGCTAAAAAAATTACAGATTGTTTGAAGAAAAGGAAGACGAACTGCAGAATTTGATCGCTGAAAATACCAGCGATCGACGAGCTCGACAATTGGATGCGGAAAAGAAAGTGAGTGTTGAGTATTGGATGTACGTGCTCTAAAGTGTAAAAAACACTCCTTCCGGTGCACTTAATCCTTTTGCTTGCTTTAGGAACAACAATATTTGGAAGATTTCCGCCAACAGGAGGAGGCAATGAGGGATTTAAAGGAGAAATTGGACTCCTCCGAGCAATTGCACATCGAACAAATGCAATTGATGGAGATGGAAATGAAAAAGGAAAGAGAAGCAAGGGATTCACTTCAAGTAGGACATATTATTGATATATTTGTAATGTTATCAATATCAATCAGCAGATGTAAGCAACTTTTTCAGGAGCAAATCAAGAAACTCGAGGCCTTCAACATGCAATTGAAGCAAATGAAAGACAATATAAAAAGAGGGAGAGACACTTGAAACGGCAAGGTAGAGCTAGTCTTGTTGGCTTTACACCAAAACACTGAGAAATATTCAGATTGATCGACGAGAATACCGCTCTTCGACGTCAAGTCACCGATTTACAAGAATGGGAACACATTTTACAGGTGATTGCAAAGAAAAATTGAAATGCATTTTCTAAAAAGCAATAATTTTAGACAAACCGTTGTAATCCACCGATTTTTCATTCGATAAACCCCATTTTTGGTCACATTCGATGAGGGAATCACAAGCCTCAGTCAATGTGACTAAAATTAGGTTGATCGAATGAAAAATGGCGGGCGGAGGGTCTAAAAGAGTTTGTCTTTTAGAAAATGGATTAGCTGAAAGGATTGTTTGATTCTGAAAAGTACAGTACTCGTCAAAAAACCACCAAATTTCAGACGCATCTCTTTGATCATCAACATCTCATCGGCGAGCTGCGCAAAGAGATTCTCGCCCTCGAGGAGCAATGCCAAAAATTCGAGACGTGGAATCGTCAATTGAAAGCATCGCTCGAGAAATCACTAGCTATCGAGGAGCAAAGCAAGGCACAATTCGAGCAAATACTCGCGCTAACGCGATCTTTCGACAAATTGGAGGAAGAGGTCTGTTTGATAAAAGATCGGTCTTACTAGCTAGCCAAAAACATATGCACAACAGAATACCCTTCCCTAAACATTGTTGGCGCGGTAAAACTAAATATGTGATTGCGTGTCGGATAGAGTATTTGATTTATTTGAGCTTTAATCTTTAACATATTCGCAACAATACTGACCGCCGATGAGCCATAGGATAACTGGTACTTTCGATGGACCGAATTGGGTTTACTTTTTGTCTACAGTATTCCTATAGGTGTCCAGAATTAAGAATATCTTTACAAAATCGAACAAAATCATATAAAATGTTCATAGAGATCAAAACGCCAAAATGACTTTGTCTCTATTGGATTCTATTGGATCCAGAATAAAGTAAACTTTTTAGAAACATCGCTTGGAGACAAAATTAGTGGCAGAGGAGAAGAAATACTGTGATCTGTTCTTTGAATTGAACAATAACACAAATGAAATCGAAGCTAGAAAAAAAGAAAATCAAGCACTTTTGGAAGAGAATCAAAAGTTGACAAAACAACTACAACAACTTTCAACACCCAGCAGCTGCAAGAGATCAAAGAGGATTTGGAGAGGAAATTGGTGACTGTTGAAAAATACAGTATTTTTAGCCTTAAGCTACGTTAAGTGACAGTCAGATTTATGAGAAATCAGCTGAAATAGGTGAGTCGAGCTCTGATTTGATCGCTAAAATGTGTCACCCTTTTGAGAAACTACCCTAAACTGCTATTTTTGTGTAACAGAGCAATGCGTTACAGAATACAATGATTACTGTACTTTCTAAAACGTGTCCCTTTTCCCTTTCTACCGTAATCTTGTCTCGATTTTTTATCCAAATCAAGACATTTTGTATATTTCGATATCCTTTGTGAATCCTCATAAGATTAGACAAAAAAGTAGATAGATTAGATAAAAATAGAGATAAGATTAAGAAAGAGAACGTGTTTGAAGAAATGGATTTGAGACGAAGAACAATCTCTAATCTTATTCAAAATTTTCAGAGAGATGCTCGTTTCCAATCTGATGAATACATCGCTCGTCTAATCGAAACGCACGAGAAAGAGAAAAATGAATTGCTTGAGGAAATCGAGACACAAAAGAGATTGTCGATTTTTAGGCCATCAGCTATGATTGATGAGAATACGGCTCCACTTGGGGAACCAATTCTCTCACCCACCTCAAAAGGTAAGCTCGCTTTCTAGAAGACATCGTATTTTAGACAAATACCGTAATCCATTCGCCATTTTTCATTCGATCAGCCAAATTTGAGTCAAATTCGATGAAAGAACCATAAATCATCAGTTAATGTGACGAAAATTAGGCCAATCAAATGGAAACTAGCGAGCGATGGTTACGGTGGTTTCTCTAAAATGAATGCTTTTTAGAAAACACTTGAATCTTGAGCTAATCAGTTCAAATAAAAGATATTCAGCTGAAAGAATTGTAAAGAATTAACGATTCAATTCAGCGATCGAAAACGAAGTCGAACCACGATCGCGACGAGCGATCTCGACTCGTAATCGCTCATTAGCCGTTTTTCCTTCAAACGCCCCTCGCGAGCTCAACTACACACAGGACAAGTACTCACGATTACGCGATTTAGCCTCACGCAACACCATCGCTCAACCACATCTCAAGTTTGTTTTAAAATAAGTTTACAGACGATAAATTTGTTTCTATGAATAGTTTGTATATTACAAAAGAAACAATTACTGAATGTCTTTATTGACAATGACAATTATTGACATTAGCAAATCTTAGTGGGTAGTAAAGAGGCTTTACGGTAACTATAAGATTTTGTCAAGTATTACAGAAGATACAGTATTACTATAGTAATGTACCAACCTTGCTCGAATATTACTCGCATTGGAAATTATGGCTTTTTGTTTGAATTCGAACTTTCCAGAGAATCCTATTTCCTCGAGACGAACTCCCCGAACTCTGAGGCGATTCTCCGCGGGAATGCAATGGTGAAACACGAGCCAATCACTCCAAAACATCATTAGAATATTACAAAATGATTTTCTTGTCTACTTTTATTCGAATTCTTACGATAAATCCTTCAATATTTACTTATCGCCAAAGTGCATGATCTCTGTGACAAGAACAAGCGAGACGGTAACAAAGCACAGCACTTGCATGGGCCACATTTCTGAAACAATGAGCTAATCATCTGCGTGCAAGGGGGCTAATTTCCTTTAGATAGAAAAGTTTGTATTGGAGGTGACAATGAATTGGATGGTCGATTTAGGACAAAAGAGAGTCAGGAGATTCGAGTTGGATTGCACTCTCACCTTAAGTGACACAATTGTTTACCAAGGTGTAGAATTTGTAGCAAAAAATACAGTGAAATTTAAGGCAAAATTGGTCGAAACTTTTAGGTGAACACGGGAAAGGACCGATTGTACACGTGGAAAACAAAAATTGACAATGCTAATCTGTAGGTGAGGAGAAAATATTGTAATTTGTTATTAGAAAAATAAAATAAAGTTTTCAACTGTTTGATCGATGAATTTCTGCTTTTTTCAGTTTTTACTTTCATTATTCATTCATTCATACGTTTGTTCGAGGAATGACCAATCGATTTAATCGTTTTAATCATTTTCCCCTTTTGATCGAGCCTGTTTTAAGCTTTATTTGGTGTCTCTGAAAGACCCAGCTAACGTTCATTTGACGCTATTCAACACGAAAATTGTTCTCAAAATAGACTTGAGAGCTCTTCAGATTGTGTTCATAATAATATTTGATTGCAAAGAAAGTTCTCAAGAAAAAGTTTCACTAGAATTTCTTCAAAAAAAAGACGATTACGGGGGGGGAAAGGCCCCCCCCCAAAAAAACAAACCCCAAAAAAAAAAAATTTTAAAAAATTTTCAAAATATTATAATAAAATAAAAATTAAAATAAATTTTACAAAATTTTTTTTTTTTATTTAATTTTATAATTTTTCTAATTTTTTTTTTTTTTTTTTTTTAATTTATTCAAAAAATTATTTTTAAATAATTTTTTTTAAATTTTTAAAAAAAATTTCCCTCTTATTTTTTTTTTTTTTTTTTTTTTTTTTTTTTTTTTTAAATTCAATTAATTTATTTTTATTTTTTTTTTTTTTTTTTTCTTCTTTCCCCCCGCCCAAATAAAAAAAATTTTTTTAAAATTAAAAATTTTCAATTATTTTAATTTTTTAATTCGAAATTTTTAATTATTCCCCTTATTTTTTTTTTTTATTTTATTTAAAATTATTAAATTAAAAATTTTGTCTTCTCTGTACTTTCAAAAATTGCTTACAAATACAAAAAATCCAAGACAAAAATTTTTACGAAGAATTTCCGGAAAAGCGATGGGAATAATGATGGTGGAAACAGAGATGCTGGCTCAGCGCTAACCGCTCCGCTAACCACGTCGCTAACCGCCTTCCCATTTACGGATTCGAAACATCGAAAATGAAATTATTCGAAAATTCGAAAATAAAAATTGTAAAAAGAAATGTGTGCGGCTTTCCGTTAAAATTCTTATTTTCCAGCTTAAATCCAGCTCACTTTTTGCACGAGAGAAACGATTTTTTATGAGGTAAAGGTAGCATAAATCAGCAATACACTCCATAATCTCTATTTTTGACCAAAAATTTCTTTACAGAGGACCCGTATTTCAAAAAAATCCTTTTTGTCATCTTCTGAGTGTTTAGCTAAAATAGGTGATTTTGAAAAGTTAAAAAGCATTAAATCAAATTTGCCTTTATCACAAATTTTCCCTATTTTAAGTAATTGATTTTAGATTTTGAATGGACCAATTGCCTATTCATTAACCCATTAAAAACTTGTCTAAAGGGAGAAGTGATTTGGTCACTTCAAAAGTGACCAAATCACTTCTCTTCTTCTCCCTTATCCTGCTTGTGTGTTTTGTTTTTTTACATCATCCATCAAATAGTATTTTTTGATAAAATCGCTTTTTTTGTAAATACTTTATTTTCATACAACAAATGCAAGTGGTTTTTGTGATTCATTCATTGAGACTGGCTCTTCTTCTCTTAGCTGAATGTATCTCTCAGAGGAATTGCTTGTTTCCTCGCCCGCTAGCGCGTTGCCGGACTCCATCACGCTCCATCAAACTGCCGGACTCCATTCGTTCAACACAAGCGGATTGATTAAACTGAAAGAAAGTTTGTAGTTAGTTGAATCAAAGTCTTTAGCTGATCTTTTCTAATCTTTAGGAAAAGATTACCTTTCACTTTCATAATCATAGTAAAATGTGGCAATGATGTTGGCCACAATCATCCAATAATCATTTGCATATCCAAGTCGACTCACTTCTCGATTCGCAGCACCAAGATCACCGGACAAAACGACAAATTGAGACGATTAAACGAAATGATGGAGGCTCCAAGTGCAAATCGTCCCCCGACTGATTCCAACTGAGTTGAAATCTAGAAATCTGGGAGGAAAGTGCCAAAAAAGAGAAACGGCTGAAAAAGCGGCACCAATTCTTTTTAAGTAATCCCAAAGTATGCAAAATTTCTTCAAGTAAACTTAACCGTTAGTTTTCATCAGCTCCCTTTTTTGACGATTGTATCTTTCGTTCTGCTTTGAATCGACCAGAAATTGAATAGCGACGCAGCGACGCAAGACATGCTCGCATAGCTGCTTTATTTCTTAAATGTTTTTTCACGGGGAGGCTCCCTATTTGGTAATTTGACTGACGTTTTATTCCTTAACAACCATCAAATCTCAAGCACAAACGGTGGAGACGATGCTGAAAAGCAACACTCAAGAATATCAACACAAAGCTGTGCATCTCTGCGATGAAGGAATATGACGTTACAGCCAACTAAAGTGTTATCCAGATTAGCCCATTTGGTGCTTAATGAACAATTCTGAGGTATTAGAAGGCTTGAATTTCTCCAATCTTGTAGTGGCTAGCTTGATTTTTAAGGAAATGGGTTATTTAGTGGGCTAGCTCTAATTTCTTTTTCGTTGTTTTCAATTTCGAATAATGAATAAGATTTCTCTACCCCAAAGTGGGCTTATTTTCTAAAATATGTCAACTGTTGACAACCTTGTTCTTGTTTCTCTAGTTCTTGTTTCTCTAGTTCTTGTTCTCAATCTTCTTCCTCTAGTTCTAGTTCACAATATTCTCTTTGAAGTTCTCTTTCTTTTTCTTTGTAGCATCAAGCAGTGTCGAGAAAAACGTTCAAAGAAAAACTAGACTACGCAACACTCCGCACCGTCAATATGGCGGTGGGGTACTATTACAGTATGTAAGGTTTGTAAATCTCTTTAGTTTAGGTCTTATCTTTGCTAAAGATCTCACTTTGAAATTTCCTCAGGTCGAAGTGAAAAAATTGCCTAAGATGGGTCTCAAGTGCTATAAAGGAAACAAAAATTTGAAGCTGAAGAAAATTGAATGCACTGCAAAACCGGACGATTCTTTTCGTTGTTTTCAATTTCGAATATTGAATTTTCTCTATCCCCTTTAATTTTCTCTATTTCTAAAAATTGTTCATCAACCTTGTTCTTCTTCCCCTAGTTCTTGTTCTCAATATTCTCTAGTTCATTTTTACTTCAAAATCCCGCCAAAAGTCTGTGATATGCTTGCCTTTTCCCTTTTTCAAACGCCCGCCAATCTTTTCCCTGATGTGGAGAAAATTTCCGCATTTTTTCGTATCACCATTTTGAAATCTTTTTGTTTCTGGCCATGTTCTAACTTAGATTGAGTAATAGAAGCAAAATAGTTTAAAGAAAATACATTTTTGATTTTGCTTCAGTTTGATCAGTATAGTAAATTATGCCAGATTAACTACATTCTACATTTTGCATACTTTTGGATTACTTAAAAAGAATTGGTGCCGCTTTTTCAGCCGTTTCTCTTTTTTGGCACTTTCCATCCCAAATTTCTTCTAAATGAAATCAGCTCAAAACACAAATAAACCTAACCGCTAGTTTTCATCAGCTCCCTTTTTTTGACGATTCTATCTTTCGTTCTGCTTCGAATCAACCAGAAATTGAACAGCGACGCAGCTATTCTTCAAGACCCGCTTTCAAGTTCGCATAGCTGCCCTATTTCCTAAATGTTTTTTAAAAATACAGAGTTCGTACATCTTTCACTTCAAAATCCCGCCAAAAGTCTGTGATATGCCCGCCTTTTTCCCTTTTCGGACGCCCGCCATTCCGGTCGCGTTTGTTATTAATCAAATGCGTTTCGGGGCGTCGCGTGCTCTTCTCTCAATCGGTCTTGCCTCTTTCTGACGAGAAAATTTCCGCATTTTTTCGACATTTTTGAAATCTTTCTGGTTTCTCTCTAAATTTGGTCCTTCTAAATCTATTTCCTTATACTTCCTTCCCTATTCGGTTCTCTCTAAATTTGACTTCTTCCTCACCAACCTTGACTATTATTTGTCTAAATTTGGTTTTTCGCTAATTTTGTTTCCTATTTCTGTAGATTTGGTTTAACTCTAATTTGATTTTTGATCTCACTAAGTTTCTTTATACTTATATCGAGATAAGGAACCAAATCTAGAGAGATAATGAACGAAATTTGGTTCCAATTTCATTTTCAGAGGAGGATGCCGGTTGAAACGCGCGGCCAGAAGCGAAAATGGAAAGCTGAGACAACCATCGAAGATTTACCATTAGATTTGCTTGAAACGCACGGCCAGAAGCGAAAATGGAAAGCTGAGACAACCATCGAAGATTTACCATTAGAGTTGCTTGAAATGATCGCTTGCCATCTTCCGGTAAAAGGGGTGTTAAAATTGCTGAGAGCGAACAAGAGGCTCTACTCGCTCTATGCGATGGATCAATCAATCGCCTTCGGAAAGCACATCGCCGGGTTTTCCATCCAACTGAGCTGTAATTTTATCAAGAAGTTTCACGACGACGATTCTTTTTGAACTGAATGAAACTCTTCGCCCTTTTGTCAAAGGGATCAAATCATGCAGTTCGTTAACATTCAGCCTGCGTCGCGAGGATTACGTGGGTCGTGCACAGCGACGCCATGACAAACTCCCCGATGT